GTGGATTCTATCCAAAAGAAACAGTTAAAGAGGCCTTCAAAACCTTAGAAGTATTGGAAGGGGAAAGAGATCACCATCACTACCATCACCACCATGATTATTATTATTGAATTAATTCCTACAACAGTATCAGAAAGTAGGTGTTATTCCTTTAAGCAGAGGAGAGAACTAAGGTACAAAGAGAAGAAGTATCTTACATGGGCTCCCTCAGTTAATAAGTCACAGGGTCAGAGATTTAATAAGAATTGCTAACAGTTATTGAGAATTTTCTAAATGTCAGTCATTCTGCCAAATACTTCATTTATTACAATGCAGGGATGCAAACAGTGTTACTCCTAGGTTAAAGAAAGGAAGACTGAGACTTAGAGAAGTTAAGCTAATTCCTCAAGGTCACACAACTAACAAGGGCAGGAGCTGACAACTGAGCCTAGACGGGTGGCACTGGAACCTGTGCGCTTCATTGCTACTGTGCACTGCCTCTCAGTCCCTGTCCTCTGTCGCTTGGCCATGCAGTGTCCAAAAAAATGCTTTTATAGTTAGAAAAGCTACTTTCATTAACTCCACAAGCCAAATGAAAGAGAGGAATGCAGAGAAGAACAAGAGGAATTTAGGGATGGGAAAGAAATAGCCTGACTTGCTGAGGTGAGTTCCAGCAAGGAATCTCCAGGAGATATCCCCAGCTGGAGAAAGTAGATAGGTGGTTGCCGTTAGCAGACATCCTAAGGAAGTCTAGCTGGCCCACATGTGAGTGGAAGACGGTTATTGGTTAGATGGGGACCTACCGATCTGTATGAAGGTTTTGCTAAGCTGGAATTATGGTTTCTTGAATAGCAAAAAGCAACATCTAACTACCTAAGAATGACATAGACAGGATACAAAGGCAAGGGAATATTGTGAGAACCTTATTTATGGATCAATAGGTAATCTTTCATACACAAAAGGTCAACCCCAGGAAGGCAGAGTGATAAAGAGATAAACATTGCCAGCAAATACAGTATTGACTTAAAAAAATCCACCCTGATGAGTTCTTTGATGTATATTCTTTTAGTTAAAGTACATTTCTTTATTCATGGGTTTCCCCCCTCACCACTTTGCGCCCCTCGGTGAAGTGTGAAGGCAGTGATGAAGAACGCTGATTTCCCGTTGTCTGGGATTTTGTGCCTTCAGTGATCAGCATCAGATGGAATAAAGGCTGAGGATTTCAGAAAAGCAGTTCTAAGTGTGTGTGTGCAGCAATTAGGACACTCAAGTGACAACTCACCTCTACCCCTTGTAATTTCCTGCTTTGGTGGCTGTGATGATACATTTATCCTGGCTTAAGGAAATAAACCACTAACTACTCAGTCCTCCTGGTACCTCTGAGTGCTTCACCCATTTTGTGATTTTTTTTCTTTTTTTCTGAAGCAAGTCATTCATCATCCAAAAAATATTTGAAATCGTTGCCATTCATCTCTGCCTGGTTGCTGGATGGTGAAGTTGTTGATTGTTTATAACTTCTGCTCAGCCATACATGTGGAAGAGAGTTTAGTTTTGTTTCCATGATATGATTTTTCAGAGTAGAGGACCAATTACAATTTCAGGTTATTCCTCTTTGCAGTTGGGAAGCTATTTCAGTGGGCCGCAGTCTGATCCTTGAATAGATACATTGCTAGTGGAAGTGCCTTGGATTCTTAGGGTCACCATGTGTGAACTGGGCAGGAGTGTGCGGTGGGGTGGGGGAGGCACATCTTAGGCAATAAGTCAAAGGCTTAAGATGCACAACACTTTGTCTCAACTTCCTGATGGGGATCTGCATGGCAGAGGGTATGGCGGAATTTTGTACACTGTAGAATTATGTAAGGATATTTTTTTCAGAGCAGTCATGCAAGAGCATTTGACAATGACACAATTTTTCCAAACTGCTTACTAATTCTTCTTTTTTCCCAGTTAGAAAGCACATTTCAAATGCTCTGAGAACAATAGCATCCTCTCAGGAAAGGATGGAACTGGATTCGGTCACCTCCAGCTTTGGATGTGACAGGGGAGCCAGATAAGACTGGGGACTACTTAACACCTCAAAGTGAGAAAAGGGCACAAAGGAGAGGCTAGGCTCGATGACAGATGACACAGATTTCAGCCTTTTTCAGAGTCAAAGTCATAGCTTTGTCCCCTGCGTTCTGCCAAAATTTTCTCTTCTGCTATGCCTGTATCTTCCCAAGTTCCTCCCTAGCCCTCATTTCCTTGGAGAAAAGGACAAGGCTCTTTGTTAATAAAAATGATTGGTGCTGGCTACGAGTGGTGAGATAATATTGGGATCAAATTCTGCATTTCTTGATTTTAAACTTTGCGGTGATTCTTTATCTCCTATTCACTTGCTCCCCGTCTATCATTCTCGCTGTTATTCATGCTGTCATCACGGGCTATGGGATATGTGTGCGAGGCTTGGTTTTCTTCCTGGATCTATCCTCTGCAGGAGTGCTCTTCTTTGGCCATATGTGATCATTTGTGAATTGGGGTGCCCCTTTGCATGTCTTAAGGCGTTTTTGTTGTTATTAAAGGCTCTGTGCCCCCCACCCCAGATTTTACTCACACTTTTTCTAGGAGGAAAGGGAGAGAAAGAGAAAGGGAGGTGGTAGTTGGGAGGTAAAGAAGAAAAGATGAATGAAAGAAACTAACTGGGTATCAGGCACTAATAATTTTATATTAGTATAGTCCTTTACAGTTGGTATACTGAAAAACAATTTGCAAAGTAATTTTTACAGGCATAGCCCTAATTTGGTTTTCACAACCACCCAAAGTACAGATAAGGAAATGGAGGCTTAGAGAAGGTAATAGGCTGCCTAGTTAATGCATATCTGGAATCTAGTCCTTCTGACTACATGTATAGTTTTTTTCTTTTCTATACTGCTCAGGCATGTCCCAGAGTCCTCATTTTGAACTCATGCCAAACACTCTAGGTAGAAGCTAAAGGTCTTTCTTAGTGGCCACCGTAACTCTCTAGTCAACACCTATAGGAATTTTCCTGAGGATGGACTGGTAGACTTTGGTTGACCAGGATAAGATCATTCTACCAATAACTTAGTACATTTTGAAATGTTCTGGGCACTTTTTAGTGTAAAATATTTTATAAAAAATATTTGCATATATAAATCTCACTTGAGGCTCATAAAAGCCCTGTACAGCTCAGAAGTGCAGCTCAGAAGCCTATGCCTTGTCTCTTAATCCACGTTTCCTCCACCGCTATGTGCCTAAGCCAGGCTAGCCTCTGTGGAGGGTATAGCGAAGTCCATTCAGGGAGCCAAGACTCCCAAGTCTGAAACTAGAAGCAATCGTAACCCTGACCTCTGAGCAGCACTGGCTACATAATTTGTGGAACACAGTGCAAAATGAAAACACAGGTCCCCTTGTTCAGAAATGTATAAGTATTTCAAGACAAAATCTAGTCTGAGGTTCTCTGAGTGTGGGGCCCTTTCGAGCATGGGGCCCTGTGCAGCTGCACGGGTTGCATGCCAGTCAAGCCAGTTCTCCCACTGACATTAACTCAGAAGTGGATGACTTTATTTTTTTTTTTCTCAGATCCAGGTTACATTTACTCTCTTCTGTTAAATTGTTTATTCCCTCAGTCAGCCTCCATTCCTAGATCTAAGGCACATAATGGCCTAGTGTTCCTTAGTATACCTAGTACCTCTAGTTCTCATAGATCAAAATTTAGGGACAGAGTCATAATATCAATAGTAGCTAATATTTATTGAGCCTTTACTATGTGATAGATACTGTGCAAAACTTTTTATGTGCTTTAAATTGATTGCAAAATGGCCTCAATTCTGTATCACATCCTGCATCTACCCACCTAGTATTGTGACTTTGCAGATTTCCCATCAGGAAATAGAGTCTGCTCCTGTCCCTCTCAAATCTGGGCTGGTCCCATGAATTGCTTTGGCTAATATAGTGAACCAGGAGAGACGGGGTGCTAGTTCAGAGTTTTAATCTTAAGAAGCTTGCAAGCTTCAACTTTCTCTTGTGGAATCCTAGGACTGCCATGAGGACAAGCCTATGTTGGCCTCCTGGAAATAAGCCCTGTTTGGAGGAGAGCTGTTGTTTCAACTGCAGCCATCCAGAGCAGCCAGCCCCCAGGTGACCTGCCAACTAACTGCAGATGCATGAGTGCACCTAGCCGAGATCAGGAAGACAAGAGTCTGGTCAGCAGAACCATTGTTACAATCAGCTCACAAGTGAGAAATGATAAGCAGTTGTTGCTTTAAAACTCTTTTGGATATAGTTGGTTATGCATTACAATTATGTTATTAAATAACACATTTATTATTTCTATTCTCTTGACAAGGAAACAAGCTTTGAGAGGTTAAGATCTTGTCTGAGGTCAAACATTGTAGATCTTAGAACATTCTAAGTAACCCAAATTCTTTTCTGTTATTTTATGGGGCCATGTCATAGTCCTCAGGGCTCTGCCAACCCCTTGGCTAATTTGAAAACCATTTGAGTAGAAGAAGCAATGTTTTTGCTGATGGGGGCAGGACCAAGAAATGGAGTTCAAACACTAGGAATCTCTCTACTGATTAATACCATGTCTATTATTAACCAAAATGTGCAAAATAAAACACTGTAATTTATCAAAGAAAACAATGTATATATTCAGAACAAAGGAGATGGTGTCTTTGAGGTCAAGGTCACAAGCTAAATGCTAGCAGAAATTTCGGCTGCATCTCATTAACACTAAACGGAGACCGAGTTCTGCAAGAGGTCTATGTGACAATCCCATTAGTGCAAATGACATTTCTTATGATGTCTGTTTTAGTAAATGAAAGCAAAATGCAATTATATTAGTGGAATTCACTCATGAAACTAAACTAAAACCCACCAGAGCAAGTGTTTCCCCACCTCCACTTCTGCCCCACACCTTTGATGAAAATCAGTTGCTTGCCAGAGTAGTAAGGGGACATTTTGCTTAAATAGGAATACACAATTTGATCATAGAGGGGGCACCAGAATACAGAAGTTCTTACAAATATCGGAGGTTTGGAAGGTTTTGGAAGGCATCAGGGTCGATGTACAGCAGATTTTTGGCCTTCTCAATTCTACTGTAAAAGAGAAAAGAACATGAACAAATCTTAACAGTAAGGACTGCTATAATATTTTTCACATTATGCAGAATATATCGATGTTATCCATCCATCTATCATTTCAATAAAAATTGAGCAGACATGCAGTGTCTTTTACCATGCCAAACTGTGCAAACTGAATATAAACCCTGCCCTGCTTAACTCTCATCACCCAAGTTCTGCTGGGCTCTGTCTGTGAGAGGCAAACAAAGCACCAGCTGGGTGAGTCATTTTCTCCCTCAGCACAGCTGAGTCCTTCACCAGTAAGGATCTTCCAGGGTCTGGGGGAGCTAAGAGGGTAAGGATTAGACCAACATGAGGTACTGAGCTTTTGTCTGGTCAGGAGACAAGAGATAATGGGGTAGAAATCAATAAAAGGGGGTGAAAAGAAGATAGGAGGGAAAGAAACTGGCTGAGGGGCAAAGGAGATTGGAAAAAAAGAGTGACGAGGCTAAGGAAAACAAAGATTGGGGGCAGACGGTGGCCATCTCTGGTTTTAGCCATGAAATTCCAGCAGACAGCAGCTGGGGATGTGCCAGTGGTACCCTTCACGCTGTAGACTGAGGCTGCTCCCTAGCAGCTCCTGGGAAGTGGTAACTTCTGCTCCAGGTTGGCCTGAGCCATGTCCTGATCAATAGTCCAGAGGTGAGCATGTTCACTTTTGGATTCCAACAGAGAGGCAGCCCTTTTCTCATCGCGCAGGATCAATGTATATTTGCAGAGATGCTCTGTGTTAATTACTTCCTCCCTGTTTCATTAGCTTTTATGTTGCAGTAACATGTGGCTACCCAGATCCAAGTGCTAGGTAATTAATCATTTTAAGGACAGTCAGTGCTACATGAGGGTGAGCACCTCTCCATGCAGGGAATAGCTGTCCTATTAGCTCCACTGCCCATTGAACTGCACTGGGGACACCTGCTCAACCCTGCCCAGAGGACTGGCTACTCTCTGGGTTCTGCAACCCTGGTCATGTCTCTTTTTCCCACTAGGGTAAGGAGAGGCCAAGCAGAGAGAGAAGAAAGAATGGAGCAGGAGGGCAATGGGAAGAAGAAGGGAAGGCATCAGCTGCAGAAGTTTAATGACAATGAGGAAGAAAGAGAGTGGGAGTCAGGGTGGATGGAAGAAAGGAAGGAACAGGGAGGGAGAGCCTGCCAACATGGACAGACTGAGTGTCATTCCTAAACAAAGTCATGTGCATATATGTATGTGCGTGTGTATTACACGGTGGTCATTAGAAACTGTGTGTGTGTATTTCCTACTGATACTTGGCAAATGCTTGAAACTTTTTAAAGGAATATGAAAGAGTCAAGAGATTTATGTTCAAGTATCTATCCTGCTGTGGATTTTGCTGGGTGACTTTAGGCAAGCCTCATAACTCTCTGTGCCTTTCATCGCTCATCTGTAAAATTAGAAGAGTGGTTCATTGGCTTTCCTAACTGTGTCTCATGAAAATTTTGTTCAATGTTAATATATACTACACAGAAGAAACCTTTCCAGTGACATTAGTTGAAAATCCCTTAATACAATATCCTTCATGGAGATTCCAAATGTAAATGCTCATATTACAGGTTCTGAGAAGATTTTCTATAGTTAAGTGAATCCAGGTTTATTTTCTCAAAGTTTCCTAATCTTGTTTTACTATAGAATCTTTTTTTCCCTGTCTTTTAACACAATAAATTCCCAAATGTTTAATGATACACAGTCTACTTTGAAAAATTCTGGACTAGACAGTTTCTAACGTCTCTTCCAGCCTTGACAGTCTATGCTTCTATGAAGTAATTTATGGTAATTATGGGCTGATAGGAAACAGAAGTGCATCTGTGTGAGTATTGACATGTTGTAAACTAGAATGTCAACAAGAGAAAGGAAATTTGATTGGAATAGTAGAGGAATAAAGACTCATTATGACACACTCATGCTAGTTGATCTATTAGGTCTAATTTACATTTGATATCATATATTCATCACAGCGATATTATGAGGCATGCAATTATATTATTCTCATCTTATAGATAAGAAAACTAAGTCTCAGAATGATTTCGTATCTTGGCCAAGGTGTATTGGTGATTATATGGCATAGACTAGTATTCAGACTACGACTACTTATCTTCAGCTACATCATGTGAGACTAATTTTGGGCTTTGACTGTGGAACAACTTTGAATGAGAGGATGAGGTGGAGGTACTTTCTCACAGTTGCAGAGCCAGGTTCTTAGGTTTACTGTGCAAACAACTGGGAGGGGGAGGGGATGGGCTAAGATTAAATTCTGGGCTGGTTCCTGGACCATCAGGTGGAGGGACCCATGAGAGTGCGCTTTGGGCTGACTTGGATATCTTAAAATTGTAAGGTTCTGAGGACAGAGCAGAGTCAGTTCTTTCCAGGAATATAAGCAGACTTTAAGGAGACTGCCAAGAATAGTCATGAGTAAACCCTATAGGTTTTTGCTTACATTTCATGTAATTTGGGCAGGTTGGAGAACACATTCGCCTCTATCACTTCCAAGACATCATTATGCGAGATCTCTCTGAAAACAAAGAATAATTCAAGTCAGTTCAGCTAGATTCCATAAAAGGGATCAAGGCTTAGCATAGAGGCTGGTGCTAAGATGATTCATGACACTCAATTTTTCCCCTCAACAAAATCAGCTGTGGTGATACTAATATATTAGATGTGAACACAGAACACTGAGAGAACAACTCAAGGCAAAGGCTCAGTTTAGAGGTTATTCAGTTTGTAGATGTAGAAACTGAGGCCTAGAGAGGGAAAGAGACTTGCTTAAAGATATTTAGGGAATATATAGGATGAGAACAAACTTTAAGTTGCCTATACTGGGGACCAGTAAACTTTTTCTATAGAGCCAGAGATAGTAACTAATTTTTGGTTCAGCAGACCATTAGGACAAAAGCAGCCATAGATAGCACATAAATGAGCATGACTGTGTCCCAATAAAATCTTATTTATAAAAAAACAAGCAGCAGGTTGGATTTGGTGCCATAGGCTGTACTCAGCGACCCAGCCCTACACCATGGAATCAGGCTTTTCTGTCTGCTGGTCTGGCTGTGGGAGACAAGAACCTCAGTTCAGCCTCTTTTAAATAAACATGGATTTAATCCCTTCCCCTTCATGCCATTGCCCAAGTGGGGTTGCTATTGCAAGATCTTTGGCATTAATGTTGTCATGGCCTAAAATACCCCCAAAAGTTCCTTCAGTCCCCAGCTTTTTTCCTCCTGGAGTAATTGAGGGCAGTAGAGAATGGAGAGCTTGTGAAGACAGGGTGGCTCCATCAGTTAATGTTTGTAAAGTGGCTCACAGATGAAACACACTATTATTAGGGCTCCTGAGGAAGACTTTCATGCAGTTTTAATGCTGTAGTGGAGTGTCTCAGGAAATCTCATAGGCAGCATGCATTCAAACTGGCTGAGGCAGAAGCGCTATCTGCTGACCTGGGATTTAGCTAAAGAGCTCTCAAAAGGTCTTTGATAAGGGACCAGCCTGGAGGGCAGGGCAGGAGAACCCATGTGGAGAAGGGGGAGTGCAATTGTGAATAGCAGCCAACTCAGTGTGGGGGGTAGGGGGATGGGGGGGTGCAGTGCTTGTGACATCTGGGGCTTGTCAACTTGGAGAAGGTAGGGTCATTTCTCCCAAGCCCCCATGGGGAAGGAGACATTTTGTGACAGAAAAGTCCCTCTTGTTCTATAATGGCATCTTTTATGATTCGCTTGGTAAATTTAAGTCTTCATGATTTTCAGTCAAACATAGATAAGGGTGGATGGTATGTTTGTGCGTGCTCATGTGCATGCATGCATGTATTTTTTTAAATCCTCACCCAAGGACATGCTTATTGATTTTAGAGGGCAAGGAAGGTGGGGGGGAGAGAAACACTGATGTGAAAGAGAAACATTGATTGGTGGCTCCCTCTTGTGTATGCACCCCAATTAGGACCAAACTTGCAACCTAGGCATGCATGCTGACTGGGAATAGAACCTGCGATATTTTGGTTTATGCGATGATGCTCCAACCAACTGAGTGACACCAGCCAGAGCTGCATGTTGACCCTTGGCCATTTATCTTGCGCCTCTGTCCTGCAAGTGGAAGGAGTGCTGAAAGATGCAGGAATGAAGAGTAGGAAAGGGGTGGTAGATTTAGAAAAATAAGTCATTTATCTGAACATATATGAGGAGTGAAAGAGTGGCCCAGGTAGAGAATAAGGCATGGAGCAGAGAATTAGACGACAGAGGGGGTTCAAATGCAAATTGGGTCATACCCTCCGAAAGCTCTTTCCAGTTTCATGTACAGTTACCAGTGGGTTTGGTCACTGCTTGTGGTAATATCTCAGCCTAATATTGGCCAAAGGTAGGCATTTCTTCTTAAAAGATAAATAAAAATTAATAGAACAAGCTAGCCAAGAAACACTTCTAAACTGATTCAGAAGGTAGTTCCTATTTATGGCCGAGAGGGTATAGGAGTTGGGTGGTGGGGGTGGGGAGAGCCTTTGGCTGGATGAGGGTTGGGGAGAGGTGAACAGTGTGCTGTAGTGAAAAATTACCTCCCTGAGTACAGTCCATCTCAGTTCTGTCTCTAGTTACTTCTGTTATCCTTTATTAATTGTCTTCTGCTTAGCAGCCATACCACATACTTTGTCTCCAATCCTTACAACATGCCCGTGACCTTGGCATTTTGGTCTCCATGTCAATAAATAGCCTCACCTGTATGCAGACCTAACTCTGGCTGACTGCAGAGTTGGAACTCTTTCTTCTACACACCCTGCCTCCCAGGCCACGTTGGGCCCACTATTTCCACTCCTGTGTATTTACTCGAGAGAAAAAAAAATCTATGCACCTCCAAAGGCTTGTGCACAAATGCTCAAGCAGCTTTATTTGTAATAGCCAAAAACTGGAAGCAACCCAGTGGGTAAACTGTGGGATGTTCATGCAGAAGAATACTACTCATCAATAAAATGGACCAAACCGCTGATACAACATCATTGAATCTTTAAAAAAATTATGCTGAGTGGAAGAATGTGGACATAAAAGAATGCATACTGTATGATTTCACTTATATGAGGTTCTAAAACAGGAAAAAGTAATCTACCGTGACAGAAATCAGGGTATTTGTTGCCTGAGGCCTAGGATAGAGGTTGCTGACAGGGAAGAGGCAGGGACACTTTCTGGGGTGATGAAAAAATTCTGCATCAAGGTTGGGGAGGCAGTAACATGGGTGCATGTATATTTGTCTAACTTATTGAACTTTAAACTTAAAATGGATACATATATTTTCTTGTATATAAAAGATACCTTAAAGTTATATGAAAAATGCCTTGTTTTTAAAAGGAAGAAGACTGAAAATCCATTTTGTTTGTTTGTTTGTTTTGAGAACTCTGAATTAAGAGAACAATGGAAGAATCTTGGTCATATTGTCTGGCCAGAAGGTGCTGTTCAGATCCTAGTTCTATCTTGGGGATTCTGTGTTAGGTTCCTTCCCAACTTGGCTGTTTCTCCCTCCTCCCCATCTGTAAAGTGAAAAGTTGGAATAGCTCCGAGTTTCTCAACCATGGCTGCACATTAGAATCTTCTGATGGACCTGTAAAAAATTCCAAAGCCTGGTTCCACAGCAGAGAGTTGGATTTATTTGGTGTGGGGTTTGACTCTGGCATTGTTTTTTTTTTCCCCCTCCCTTTAATTCTCCAAGCAATGGTGATTCTAATGTTCAAGAAGGATTGAGAAGTGCTGGACTAGGTGACCAAAAGGTCCCTTTTAGATCTATGATTTCTGTCTTAAGATTTGCTTCAGGAGCAAAGGCTGATTTGCCATTGACTGTTAAGACAATAAATTAGATAAATAAGGTTCTTGAGGCACAAGAGGCAATGAGACAGAATGGTAGCAAGAGAAGCCTCAAGATAGAATGTGGAGACAGGAGTAAAATAGGGCAGGCATGAGTTAGGTTTATTTTTTCATAAATAAAATTTCATCAAAAAGTTGCAATATTGCAAATGTGTAGCAAGAAACATGGAAACTATATTGTAACACCTTACATTTGGTTAGTATTGATAATTAACAATATTTTATTAATGCATAGTTTCCTTTAATTTTCAGTATACCCATGTAAATTGGAGTTAGTGCAGCCAGTCCTATCACTGGTTAGATTAATAGTGGTAATCTGCCTTGGCTAAGATAATACATTATTGTGAGGATCACTCAACTGGTCTTTGGAGGGAAGATGTGGAATTTTTACATCCAAAGAACTTACTTAATCAAGAAATCATTCTTTGTCTCAAATGGTTCTGTTGAGAATTTTCTTTGCAGTTGTGACAAATTATTACAATTGGCATGATTCAAAGTGTGATGGTGTTTCCTTGGAGTCAAAAGTAAAGGTTGATGAGAGAGGATAGCTCTAGGGATATGGTGGATCTAAAGCATGGTCCAGGGTTTATATGATAAAAAGATTTTTGTGATGATGCTGAAACAGAATTTTCCCTCTCATTCTATGAGCATACAGTTGAGTCATACTTGATGTGTGACATGGCAACAACTATAACACAGAAGCGGATTTGAGGATTCATCTGTCTTCTATTAAGCCAGATGTTAAAAATATTTGCAAGTATGTAAAACCATGGTATTCTTCTTACTAATATTTTTTGAAAAGGTGGTAATTTTGCATAAAAACTGTTATTCATATTAACATGTACAAATTTATGGTTTTTAGATAAACTACCAAATAAATTATTTTCCAGTTTTAATTTTTAGTATGGAAAATGTTGGTAGCTATAACCCATTTAAGCAAATATCTTTGGTGTATTTAATAACTTTGGGAAATGGAGAGATCCTGAGACCAAAATGTTTGGGAGCTGTCCAAGGTAGACATCGAATGCTGCCCTTCTTGTGAGGGATCCTGACTCTGTGGAAAGCTTATTTCGAGAAATGAGGCTCTCATGTTCTAGGACAGTGCTCCTCAACTGTACATGCACAGGTGAATCATCTGGGGATCTTGTTAAAGTTCATAATCTCAGTGGGGAGATTTTGAGTGGGGCCTTAAATTCTGCACTTCTAATACCTCAGGTAAGGGATTGGTGCTGGTATTGAGATCACACTTTGGATTCAAGGTTCTTTAGAAGAATAATACCCCACCAAATCCTTCTCCCCAACACACACATATGAGTGAACAAGAAAAGTGTGACAGAGTATTTCAAATCAACTTCAGGGGAGTGAAGTACTTGATTTTAAAAACCCTGCATACCCTCTGGAAAGCTTTCCCTTATTCTCTCATTATTGAAATCTTCCTATGTTCTGCATTCTCACAAGACTTCTTTCATTTATCAGTTAAAGTGGTTACCACATTGTTTTGTCATTGATTTTTTTGGGGGGGCTGGTCATTGTTTAATTCCCCAACCTGACTTTTTGTTTCTGGATGGTACCTTATCTGTCTATCTGAGACCAGATTAAAGGTCTCCGGTCACTAGAATTTCAAAGTTTTCTGTGAATCAGAGAACAGGATATAATAAGAACTTAAATTCTCATGGAAATGTCT